AAACCTCTGGTCATGGCTATAGCGACTGGTTTGCAAACGAAAATATGGGTCAGGATGGCGAACGACAGTGCGAGTGGCAACGCGTAATTGAGAGCTACTCCAAAGCATCCATAACCGGCTTTCACAGTATTCATTCTCGCACATCTGATCATGATCGCATGTACACAGTCAGAACGACTATGGGCCCAGCCTGTGTGGGTCAAGTCCAAAAAGATGAAGTGTGTTGCCAAGAGGAAGCAACATATGATCAATACTATACAAACTGTACCGGAAACCTTAATCTTACTGCCGCAGCAAGACAGAGTCGCTGCCTCACTAGCGTGCAGAGAACTTGGCCGGCGCCTGTCGCAGTCCGTATTGTCCAACAAATCATCATGACTTTTCGTCGGCAGCCACCAAAGAAAAGGGACAGAACCAACGAGAACTGCGACAAAGCGGTCAAAAACATCATGTGGCGTTATGAGCAGATGCGACGACGATATGGAGCCGACGTGTACGTCCAAGTCCGCTTCAAAAGCAGGCACTATGAGTACACGTCTTCCGATAAGCCCGAGTTCCCCTGGTCCAGAGCTGAGTTGGTATGTTCAATCAACCTATGATCCTCCGAGGTTACCCCCTAGGCTAAGATTTGGAAGAAAGCGACCTACCCTGTCCCGGTAGCAAGATCACCACTGGACTACACGGAAAGAAGATCTCGAAGCGTCGTTGAAGGTCAATCTAGCGTAAGCAGCGGTTGAGTGCGACAACGTAGCTGTCAGGCGGAGGAATGTACTTACAATAAAGCCCATTCTGCTACATACAGCTATGGAGTACTCTATCGCCCTACACGATGCGTACTTTTGGTGTGCCGCTCTCCTTATGTTACCTGACGCCGACCAGACCGTTTGCCATTCTCTTCAACCACTTACATAGTCGGAAACCGTTCGCGCCTTCGATCATCAAAGATGTCTTTACTTATACATTGAACGAAATGTTTTGTTGGTCTCGTACCGCTTCAAAATTGATTCCGAGGCATCGATGTAGACCCGGTCCGCTCACTGGCAAGCTCTATGCATGAGGAATCCTCACCAAAACCACTGGCAAAATGGACTAAGTCAACATACCCACTTCCTGGCACCCCCCTGTTTCTGGCACCACAAAAACGATGGGATCACAACCCAACCTCCTCATTACTATTAACTATTGATCCTCAACCACACCCACTACAATACAGCTGCCAGCCTCACTAGGGCATTCAGAGTCGCTGGATTCAGCCGTGATAACCTCCTTTTCACCCGCTTCGATTTGAGCCCGATGGATATCCCTGATGTTCGCGAACTTCGTATTGGGATCG